ACCCCTTGCTGCCTCTGTATTCTGCCCCCTTCCCACAGATGCAGTAGCATGGCTGAGGCAGGTGGGAGCTGGTGTTTGGGGGGGAGCCAGAATGCGCTCCCATGGAGCCACCTGCCCCTGTGCTTTTGCCTCTGCAGTGCAGGGCGTGAGAGAGACAGGTGGGAGCTGGTAGTACATGGGGGAAGCTGGCTTAAAAGCCGGAGTCCTGGCTCCTGCCCTCCCCACCCCCCGGGTATAATGTGTAACCTCTGAAAAATTCTGCCATTACATGTTTACAAAAATGTTTGCTAACATCCTGCATGTAGACTTGCCCAAATTCAGGTTTCCCTCTGCAGGGGGGCGTTACGCTATATGTCAAGCTGCCAGGTTCTCTCCCCTTTCACAGTTACTTCACAAAAAGTAACATTGAAAAAAGGTTCTGTACATTTCAAGCTGAGCTTCCTAGTGGGAAGGGGAGAAACCAAGAGGTTGAACTTCTAAGTATCACTTAAAACATCTTGGATTTAGAATTGTTCGTTGTGTAGCTTGATTAGCCTGTGGGTAGCTTTTTTTAATATTGTTTTGTGTGTGTGTTCTGTTTGTTGCTGGGAGGGGAGAGAGTTTGTTGGTTGGTTGCCCACACAGTGCTGGTCTCTCTCACTAAGCTAGTTCTGCTGTGTGTAGCATAATTCCTAACCAGTGCTGTGAATGCATGCTAAATCTACCCTGATGCACGGTATAAATCCAGTGCTGACCACTGCGTTCTTGTCTCTCTCAAATTCCAAGCCATCTTTCTGCTAAATGTAATGTTGTTGTCTTTCATGCTGTTCCATAGTCCCTAGACTGAGTGAAGCAGAGTTAAATGGAAACTTGCACATGGTAATCTTACAGCAAAGATTCTGTAGAGTGCTAGCCTCAGCAGAAATGTAGATAGATACACATGGTCAGACCCAGACGTGTTCTGTTTGTGTACTTTCCCAGGCAGAAGCAGGTGGTAACAATGATAAGAGGCTTTGTGAGGGAAGCGTAATGCTAGAATGGGGGCTAATAGGGATGTAAAGTTCCATTTCAGTGGTTAACGGGCTAAGCCTTAAGTTTAACTGGTTGACCGATTAAACAGGGGATGGGGTACAAGGACTCATCCAGCCAGGTTAGAGCATCCCTGCCTGCGGCAGGCCCCTGGGAGCTGGAGACGGTTAACCACTAACATCCCTGGATGGGTAATATTGAAGGTATTGGTTAAATAGATATCTGGAGATTTGAGAGAGTCAATTTGAGATGGCTCTTACTGTAGCTTTTTTGGCAGTGACCACTGACTAAACTAATAAAACATTTCATCCTAAAGCCCTCTTTCACTCAGATATGAAGGAAATTCTGAGAGAGTTATGATTTAAGAGTCTTGCTGGGAGGGGAGGAGGTAGATGACCGTTCCTCCGACTATTACTACTCTACTGGAAGCCTGGCGGCCCCCTTGATCTCCTGCCAGGATTGAACTTCCCTTTAAGATTTAACTTGTCTTCTCAAGTATGTGCAGATGGGCGTTGTGGGGGCAGAATGTGATTCTTAACCTGATATGGACAAGATGACACTGTTCTACATAAGCTAGGTTTGGGTAATAGTAGTTCAGCTTGTACTCACTTTTATTTTAACTGACAACAATTAATGCATTGTAAATGTTGTGTAACTTAATATGTTTTAAAGCAAATGCAAAATTTTAAGGTGAAAACACACAGAGTACGTTGATTTTAACGTTTCTGGAAGTGAGTATGATTATATACTGAAATTTCATTCAGGTTTAAAGATCCTCTCCAATAGACAAACCGTATCAAAACCAGGCAAAAATGTCAGTGTCCTTAGATGGTTTTAATTTCTGATGAATTATCAGAAAAAATTAAATGAATGCCATTCCTAATGATTTAATACCCAGTAGGTGTTAGTTGTGGCTTTTTGTTGTTCAGACTAATAACCAGTGTTCCCTGTAAGCTGAGCACTTGTGCAGCCACCAAATGCTGCCCAGCTGATCAGCAAAGCACTCATAGATGGCAGCATGTTTCTACTGGTGGTGCACACCTGTACATGCCTCAGTGCACATACCAAAAACTATTCTGCACATGGATGGAAAAAATTACAGGGAGCATTACTAATAACTTACGCTGTGCTCTGTGTGCGCGCGCATGCACACACAGCACAAATCACTAGTTGTTTACCAAGTGTGGCCTGATTTGCTATTGTTGTCTTCCTAAACTAAAAATGGTAAGTCAGTGGTTCTCAGACAGGGATACATGTACCCCTGGGGCATTCAGAGATCTTCCAAGGGTAGCATCAACTCATGTTTTACAATGTGCAACATAAAAAGCACGAGGCCAATCAGTCAATACAAACTGAAAATGTCATACAGACAATGACTTGTTTAAATATATAGATTACACTGGAATGTAGGTACAATATTTATATTTCAACTGATTTATTTTATAATTATATGGTAAAATGAGAAAGTAAGCAATTTTTCAGGAAGTGTGCTATTACTCTTATGTCTGGTTTTTGTAAGCGAGCAGTTTTTTTAAGTGAGGTGAAACCTTGGGTGCACAAGAGAAATCAGACTCCCGTAGGGGGTTTAGAAGTCTGCAAAGGTAGAAAGTCACTGCCTTCCGTAATCCATGTTAGGGGAGGAAACTAAGCAATTACATGGGGCAGTTTCTGTACTTCATTCTAGGCACAAGTCTATTGTGCTGTGTAGCAGTCGGACTATTCACTTTTCTATAGAAAATCTTAGAGCAGCCAAGTCATCCTCAGTTGTATAAGACAGCAAAAGGGTACTTTAGTGACCTTGGGGCACAAATCAAGGTCCAAGCATTTTGATTTAGTAGTTGAAATGATAAAAAACAGAATAGTTATAGTTTATTGGAACCATCCCATGTATCAGATATTAAAGCAACTGATTAGTGATTTCATATGTACAGGTGATCAGTTTTTGATGCTAACAAAATATATTGTTTAGAAAGGATAAGCCTCAAATTAGACCTGCCAGGGGGGTTTATGGTTTGCAGGTATGTGCAGATCTGCACTAACTACATAAAGAGAAACTATTTAATATCAGCTATTCACAGACACTTACCTTCCTTCCTCCCCCTTCCCACCCCCCCGCATCCCCCTTCTGTTCTGCAATGTGATTTGTCCTTTTCATATTTGTTCATTTTTTTAATTGTATCCTTTGGTATATATGGTTGTGACTACTTTCTTCCACTATTTGATCTGAGGAAGTGGGTCTGGCCCACGAAAGCTCATCATCTAATAAACCATCTTGTTAGTCTTTAAAGTGCTACATTGTCCTGCATTTTGCTTCAACTACCCCAGACTAACACGGCTACATTTCTATCACTATAAAGAGAAACTGTTAGACTTGTTAGCATCACCACACAATGTGTTTGGCATCAAACAGTTTTTAAAAGCGTCAGGCTGAGAGAACTTTTCAGGTGTTAAGAATACTATGGATGAAGTGAAATGTCAAGGGTTGCAGAACTGGAGCACATTGACAAGCTGTTGTGGAAAGTTTGGGTGAGTGGGTGTGAGAGAGAGAACATTTGACATGAAAGTTTGGTATGGTGTTTGTGTGCACACTGCAGTGTGTAAGTTTACCTGTTGTTTGTTTTCAGGTTCCTGAGCAGCAGCCAATTACTTTGTGCAGTGGAGCAGAAGATACCAAGCATTATGAGGAGGCCAAGAAATGTGTGGAAGAACTGGCATTGTACCTCAAACCACTCAGCAGTGCGAGAGGCAAGTCCTGCACTGCCCTATTTCCTTACTTTATCACTGCTTTTAAAACATCCATCAAAATTAGGAATGTGGCTGGTAAGGATATTACATTTAGATTAATCAACTACTCGAATAGTTGATGTAATTTGCAAGTCTCCTGGTAAAGGTACGAGCCGCACTAACGTGATCTAATGAATGGATTTTTTTTTTTTCAAGCACTACCTGAAACGCATCTTTTAAAGTTCACAGTGCATTGTTGTCAGGTTTGGATGTCTTGATCAGTGCACTAAAATGACATGCAGCAGGAACTGGTTTGCCCTTTCAGCATCTTCCAAAGAATAGAAGTTGAAAGTTGACTTTGCTAGAGGAGTGCATTTAGATAATCATGTTAAAGGAGAAATTTGTCTCACTGTCTTTTTGTATGCTTTTGTTCTGAAGGTGTGGGTCTCAACAGTACCACCCAGAGTGTGCTAAGTCGCCCCATGCAGAGGAAGCTTGTGACATTAGTTCACTGCCAGCTAGTGGAGGAAGAAGGGCGAATCAGGGCCATGCGTGCGGCACGGTCATTGGGTGAAAGAACAGTCACAGAGCTCATTCTTCAACATCAAAATCCTCAGCAACTCTCTTCCAACCTCTGGGCTGCAGTGAGAGCCAGGGGTTGCCAGTTCCTTGGGCCAGGTACGTACCCAAGGAGATCAGTGAGATCACTAGTTCTGCTGAAGAACAGGATTCAGAGACTGGAGAATGAAAGATGGCTGGAAATTGAACAGTGGCTTCTCCTCAGATAATTTGCCATAGGCCTTCTGATGTATTAATACTCTGAACTACTTTTAGAGCTTCCTGTGCCTTGTTATTTTGCAAAGCCGCCCAAAAATCGGATGTCCTTAGTTGCTGATGCAAACAGCCAAGACTGAGTATTTTGACTCAGGTTTAAATCAGCGATTTTTAAAATCCCTAATGAAATGATGGTTTAAATCAGCAAGAGAAAACCTTCACAGAAGGGGTTGATTTTTGCATTTGTACTTTAGGATAAAGAAAAAGAGAGGTGGTAACTATTAAAACACATTGATTTGCGACTAAATAGGGTGTATACACTAAATTTAGTACTTTTTAATAGCCAGGAGAATACACACATCTGTGCATGGCTATATGAGGAATTACAGCTAAGGTTAAGATTTTTGTCAAGATTATTTGTAGTAAGTCATGGGCAATAAACAAATTCATGGAAGCCCATGACCTGTCTGGCTCTAAAAATAATTGAGGTGGAGGTTATTTCTCAGCTGCTAGTAAACTTGTCAGTTAAATAAACTGAAATCAAAATAGTCTCGCTATACCTGCAGACGAGGCTATTGCTGTCAGAAGCTGAGCTAATACTTCAGCTGTCTGCACAGACACAGAGCTTGTTCAGTATGCCCTGGTTTCTTAGCCAAGAGAAATTCAGTGCTTTGACATTCTTTAAAACTTTGACCACAAGCATTTAACAATTGGATTTTTAAAAATTGAATATGCCTTAATTGTGACAGTGGAGTCAATTTAGGCACTATTATAGGCTCTCATAAATTAAAACTTTATTTTAAATAAATTTATTTTGAAAAGGGAGGAAATGAATTTAATTTACATTTTAAAATCTATTTTGATCCATCCTGGTTTGTGTCTGTTTGTTGTTGCATTGGGAGAACATACCCTTAGTTAGGAGTAAGGGTGTAACAGTATAGTCGATTAACCAATTAGCGAAAGCGTATAGGTTAATGCTATAGATTGCATGCATTTCTCTCCCCCTCTCCCGGCTCAGTTCTGGCTCATGCTGGGTCCAGGACCGACCCCCATTTCAGCTCTGCATTTCAAGTGTAGAAAGAGCCAAGCTGGCAGGCAGCCCAGTTTGGTTCTGACTCGTGCCAGGTCCGGGAGCTCAGATCCCCACCAGACAGGGACTGCTGCCACCCTGCGCTGCTGCCTCTTTCTCGGAAGCAGCAGCACAGGATGACAGGCAGCCGGTCAGTGAGGGGGAGCTAGTTTTTAAACTGGCTCCCCTCACAGACCAGCTCCTGCCTGGCACACCATGCTGCTGCCTCTGATACGTAGGCTGCCAGCCCCGTCCCCAGGAACTATAGAATAGTCAACTGACTGATAAGAATTAATGAGGTTACTCGACTATTTACTTAACTGATATTTAACATCCCTAGTTAGGAGAGCGTGGTATTTAGGAGGAGTGGATACGAATTTTCTTACCTTGCCCTGACTTTTGTGCGTGCTCAGCCTTTCCCTGAAAATTGGAGATTCTTTTCCCTCCAAATCCCCTAAAAAAGAGAGGACTGGGCACACTATCTCCATGGCACAGATAGGCTAGGGATTTGTACTGCAGCAGAGTGGGAGGCCGTTGGGAAGCTCAGGTAGCTGGCTTGCTTATTGCTGTTCAGCTACCCCATGATGGCTGTAACAACTTCTCCCCACTTCAATGAACGTGCTTTCTCTGTCTGCTTGTGCCCCTCTCCCCTGCCTTTCACTCTGATATCTTCCTATCCCACCACCCTCCTTCCATTATTAGTGCAAGAGTATTGAAAGTGTATTGAAAGTGTCTTCTGTATGCCCCACTATTTTCTGGAAGCTTTGAAGTGACTTTGCCTTTCCCTTTCGGTTACCTACTACATCCATATGTATGGAAAATCCAGTATTAATGCAAGGCCACTCCTGGTGCATCTTATCATTTTTGTTCTTGTTTTGTTGCTTTGTATTTTCCAGCAATGCAGGAGGAAGCACTGAAGCTGGTTCTGCTGGCTCTGGAAGATGGATCTGCTTTGTCACGAAAGGTCTTGGTTCTCTTTGTGGTGCAAAGATTGGAGCCACGGTTTCCTCAGGCTTCGAAAACCAGCATTGGGCATGTTGTCCAGCTTCTTTACAGAGCCTCCTGCTTCAAGGTATGAAGTGAACCCTGCTTGGAGGTTCCACAGCACAGGAAAGCTTTACTTGTTATGCTCCAGAAAATCCTAAAAGATGGCATTTCATTTGGAACTGCGCACCAATGCCTCTTGCAAATAAAGAAGGCATTTATTTGCTTGCATCATTGAATTTATAGTTATCAGTGGTTCTTCGTTGCTAGTTCAGTCAAGCTGAATGGCCATATCAAATGGTGTCCTGCAAGGATCAGTCCTGGGTCCAGTTCTCTTCAGTATCTTCATAAATGATATAGATAATGGCAGAGAGAGTACATTAATAAAGTGTGCAGACATTACCAAGCTGGGTGGTGTTACAAGGGCTGTGGAGGTTAGGATTAAAATTTGAAATGCTCTGAAGTAAATAGGATGAAATTCAGTAAGGACAATTGAGGAGTATTCCACTGAAGAAGGAACTGTCACTTGCACACACACAAACTGGAAAATGACTGCCTGGGAAGGAGTACTGTGGAAAGGGATCTAGGGGTTATAGTGGATCACAGGCTAAATACGAGTCAACAGAGTAACACTGTGCAAAAAACAGAAAAAACAAACAAACCTACAATTTGAGATCTTAAAAGGAGTACAATAGACCGGACACAGGAATTAATTCTTTCTTTCTGCTCCACACTGATAAGGCCTCGGAATATTGTTTCCATTTCTGGGTGCCACATTTTAGGACAGCTGTAGACAAACTGAAGAAAGTCCAAGAGAAGAGCAGCAAAAATTTATTAAAGGTCTAATGTTCTATATAAGACGATTGGAAAAAAATGGGTGTGTTTAGTCTGGAGAAGAAAAGACTGAAAGGGGACGTAAGTTTTCAAGTACATAAAAGGTTGTTAAAAGGAGGAGGGTGAAAAATTGTTCTCCTTTTAATCTGTGAGGATAAGACAAGAAGCAGTAGGCTTAAAGAGCAGCAAGGGCGATTAAGCATGGGAACAAATTACCTAGGTAGGTTGAAGGAATCTCTGTCATTGGAGATTAAGAATAGGTTCCCCAACTGACGTTAGGAATGATTTAGTTCAACCCATTCTGGGCAAAGAGCCAAGATAGCAGTGGATCCAGGGCAAAAAAAAAAGGACAGCCCCTTTTGTCCCTGGTCGCGTTTGGTCAAGCCCCCCTCCCCGCCAAAAAAAACCCTCTGCTCCTTTAAGAAAACACATTTAAATGTGTTTTGAGGCATTTTGGCCACAGGAGGCGCCCGTCGCCATCTTTAATTCTTCATCTTTCATGGCCACGCCAGACTGCTCCCCTGCTCAGGTCAGCAGAGAGAGCCAGGAGGAGAGGGCCGTTTTGGGGGCACGGGGAGGGGGAGTGGAGAGGATGCAGAGGGGGAGAGCCACATGCACCTCGTGAGCCTTGGGTTGGCCATGGCTGATTTAGTTTACTGTGGTCCTGCCTGGAGTGCAAAGGACTAGACTACACAACCTATTGAATTCCCTTTCAGTTCTATGCTTCTGTCATTTTATGATTGAATGTATAAAATGCTTATTTTTTAGAGTGGGTCTTGTGTTTAGTCCCAAGCGCTCAGAGAGTTCACTAAATTTCATGGAGGGAGACTTTGGCTGAAATTAGATTTTTAAGTTGCAAATCAAATGCAAGTTTGGGCTCAGAATATGCCATAATGGATGTATAGCATCAAAACCACCATACGAATGAGCATCTTGTCTGTCTGCTTAGGAGAGGCTCGCTGGTAGAATTGTACAGTGGTTAGGACTACCTTAGAATGGGGTGCTTCATTCATTGGCGGAGCTAGATGAGAGAACCCTACACTATTGCGGACTCCAACCATTGTTTTTTATAGTGGGTCCATTCTTGTTTGCGCACACATTCATATGATGAAGTGACAGGGAAAAGAGACTAAGCTGAATTGACATTGTGTTTTGCTGCTGCTGAAACCTTCACAAGATGAAGCATTTATTTGTTCTGATATTAGAACTGCCATCTGATTTATCCCTGGCTTATTGTGACCGGCAACTTTTTCCCCATCAGGTGACGAAACGTGATGAGGACTCCTCCCTGATGCAACTAAAGGAGGAGTTCCGTACCTATGAAGCTTTGCGAAGGGAACATGATTCCCAGATTGTGCAGATCGCCATGGAAGCAGGTTTGCGCATTGCACCAGATCAGTGGTCCTCGCTGCTATATGGAGACCAGTCCCACAAATCCCACATGCAGTCCATCATTGACAAGGTAAAGCCACCTCAAATCAGCCCAACCACGATTTCTCTTCCCCGGTTTTTTTTGTAACCTGATACTAGCCTGAGTTGATAAAAGGCTAGCCGACATTAGAAATACTACAGTGCTACAACTGGAGCGGTCTAGAGTAGCTACTCACTACAGTGATGGAAGGAGTTCTCCTGTCACCATAGTTAATCCACTTCCCCTAGAGGTGATAGCCAGGAAGAATTCTTATGACTGTTCCTTTGTCATCCACCCCCCAACTTCCTTTCTTTTGTCTATTACACTTGTGTTAAATTAGGTTGCAGACTTCTTGGTCCAGAGGCCAAAGAAGGCTTTGGCCTTCTAGTAGAGGTCCAGTACAAGGGAAACCAATTCTGATTGTTGTCCCTGGAATACAAATGACTACGTCATCCCAAGGAGAAGCCACGGTTCTGGTTTATCTTTGGTTGAATTGTAGTCTTGCATACTGAAAAAAGGGAGGGGGTCCTTTTAGAACAAGGAAGAAATGATCACATGGGCTGTGTCTAGACTGCAGGGTTTTTTCGAAAAAAGTAGCCTTTTTTCAAAAAAACTTCACCTGCGTCTAGACTACAGCCGTGTTCTTTCGAAATTAAATCAAAAGAACGTGGCTTTTCTTTCGACGATGGTACTCCTCATTTCACGAGGAATAATGCCTTTTTTCGAAAGTGCTCTTTCGAAAAAAGGCGCTATGTCATGCAAACTGTGCTTTTTCAAAAGAGAGCATCCAGACTGCCTGGGTGCTCTCTTTCGAAAAAGCGACTTGCTTTTTCGAAAGTACTTGTTGCAGTCTAGACGCTCCTTTTCGAAAGAGGCTTTTTCGAAAGTATCTTTAGAAAAAGCCTCTTTCGAAAGAGGCTTGCAGTCTAGACGTAACCATGGTGGAAAAATGATCTTAAATGAAAGTGAAATAATTGAGAGAAGACTCAATGACCTTGTGGAGCAGCCTGCAGAAGCAGTGAGGGTTGCCTTGTCTGTAGAAAGCTAATAATTCTAATTTTTTAAGTTGCAGACCCCAGCCTCATTTGCACAGAGTGTTCAAGAATTAACCATTGCTCTCCAGAGGACTGGAGACCCTGCTAACCTGAACCGGCTTCGACCTCACCTAGAGCTCTTGGCAAATATTGACCCTAGTCCAGGTAAACCCACGAGCCTCTTGTAAGGTCATAGTAGTGCCTGCTTCAACCAAATGGCCTTACTGTATTTGCTGCTTAATCAAAAACTACGTATGTCTTGAATTTTTCCCCCAGTGTCTTTTTCTTTTGTCTTGACTATTCTATAGTGGTAAGTTCTCAGAAATTTGGACTTCACTCTTTTTTTTTTTTTTTTTTTTAAATCAGAAAGCATTTTCCAGTAAAGAATTATTTAGGCATCTTAATCCTGATACTTGGGAGCTAAATAGAGTAGGAAAAGGCAGGCTAGATAGACAAGCTAGTTTGTTTATTGTGCAGAGTGTTATGCCATTTTGCTGGCTACTCAGAAACTCTGATTGTCAAAATCCTCCCAAGATCACAGAATAGGATAGGGAGCCCTGCAGGGGAAAGGAAGTGGGGGAGAGGAGGAGGAGGAAATAAGGACTGGAGATGGAAATCCAGATCTGGTGAAGGAAGAAAAAAAGGGAGATTGGAGAGGAAACTTAGTGGAGGGAGAGAGCAAGTAAGGATTGGGGAGGATAAAATAGGTGATAGAGGAATGGTGGGTACAGAGAGAGAGAGGAACCTAGGCTTATGTGGCTGAAGACTGCTCTTTACTCACATGTAAAATAAAAATTATAATCTTAAATCTACTCACTAGTGGTGAGTGGAAAGCTTTCCATGGTGAGTGTGGAGGCCTAAGCTATCAGACGTGATAAAGGGTTTTGGTTGGATGTAAAGTTGATGCTTCTATTGCAAAGAGATCCTTCAAAATCTGGACCTATCAGTGCTTAACAACCAAAAAATGCAGTGCTTTCTTTGTAAACCTGCCGAAGAGTTCGGCTACTGCTATTTATTGCTGTGGGAAAGAATTTTGGAGTGAATTAGACTAGCAGTGTTCAGAGGCTCAGGACTTCCTGACTGGGCGGGACTGATGAATCCCTTGCAAAGCTATGCGGCTGCGCAGCTTCTAGGGAACGCTGATTGCTAGTATTCAATCCCTGGTAGCACTGGAACTCAAGTCCCATGACCATATTCTGGGCAGTGGCAGAAGCTGCTGCTTGAGGAAAACTAAGAAACAGAAAAGAGAATTGGGGAGACATTAACAAAATAACACAAGGTGGCTGCAGGAGTATTGGTTGTGGAAATCCTTTGAAAGCACCTGGGTGGGGTGGGGAGAGAACAGGAGAAATCTTCCCCTTGTCTACTTTGTACTCTGGGAGAGGAAGAAGGGTCCAAAGTCTCCTCTCTTTCTGGAGTTATAGGAGGGCAGAACTTCAAAGGTATCAGGTACCTACTTAGGTAGAGGCAGATTATAGAAGATGTACTTATCAGTGCCCCTCCCTTTCCCCAGCAAATGAATCTTCAGTGGATGAAGACTTCTCACCTTGGTGATATCTGGATCCCACTAAGATAGTTCATGAATACACTGGCTAGACGGTGTCTGATTAAGTTACAGATCTGATGGGTGCAGTGCCACTTAATGTGTTTAAAAGATTGAGACAATCTGGGTACGCAGAGCACTTCGGGTATGTCTACACTGCAACACTATTTTGAAATAACTTAGTCCGCATCTACACAGCAGGCAGTTATTTTGAAATAGTGTCAAAATACTGTCAAGCTGGAGGACGACTTATTCTGACTCCTGTAACCCTTGTACAAGGAATAAGGGAAGTCAGAGGCCGAGTGCTCTATTTTGAAATAAGTGCTGTGTAGACGCTCCCTATTTCGAAATAAGCTCTTTTGAAATGATACACAATTGATGTAGTTCAATTTGCATCGCTTATTTCGAGATAAGCCCTGCTGTGTAGACACACCCTTTGAGGTCACCTGATTCAAGGCAGTGTGTGTGTGTGTGTGTGTGTGTGCTTGGTGATGGTATCCTTTGCTGGATTACGTTAAGAGAAATCAACCAGATAAAAGAATAAAAATCCTTCATGGGAGAAGGACCCTATAATTGCTGATTGTGTCATGTTTGAAATAGAGGTTAATTTGTGGAGCTGTACTGTTTCATCTCTGGAGTAGAGTGAGAGTAAATTGTGCTATTTTTCAGTGAGTTCCCCACTAGGTGATCTAGGGCAGGAGTTCCAAAACTGGTAAGACATCTCGAGGGGGAGGAGTTATGCAAGAAAACTTGTGTAATGGTGGATTTTAATTTGTTTAACTTACTGCCTTTTCACAATAGGCTACTCAGGCGAAGCTTTAAAGTTGTGGGGATTTTATGTAAAATACAGTACAGTAGAACCTAAGAGCTATGGGCACCTTGGGAATGGAGGTTCTTTGTATCTCTGAAATATTCATAACTGAACAAAATTCTTTCAAAAGTTTACAATTGAACATTGCTTTAATATGGCTTTGAAACTGTACTATGCAAAAGTAGAGTGCTGCTTTGAGCCATCTTTAATGAAACAATCACAGAAAGTTTCCTTGTCAGTCTTTGTAATGCTTTCCCTTCGTGTTTTTAGTGGTTTACGTTTAACACAGAGCTGTACTGTATTTTGCTTTTTGTCTCTGCTGCTATCTAAGGATATGTCTAGACTTCGTGCCTCTGGCGACACAGGCATGTAGATTAGGCAACCCCGCATAGGGAAATGAAGCGGCGATTTAAATACTCACGCTACATTTAAATTTAAATGGCTGCCGCGCTGTGCCGATCAGCTGTTTGTCAGCTCAGCGCGCTAGTCTGGACGCTCCGCGGTCGACATCAAAGGCATTTGTCGATCTCCCCAGTATGCCTCGTGGGATGAGGTTTACCAGGGAGGTCGACAAATGCCTTTGATGTCAACCGCGGAGCGTCCAGACTAGTGCGCTGAGCCGACAAACAGCTGATCGGCACAGCTCGGCAGCCATTTAAATTTAAATGTAGCGTGAGTATTTAAATCGCCGCTTCATTTCCCTATGCGGGGTTGCCTAATCTACATGCCTGTGTCGCCAGAGGCACGAAGTCTAGACATATCCTTAGATAGCAGCAGAGACAAAAAGCAAAATACAGTACAGCTCTGTGTTAAACGTAAACCACTAAAAACACTACCCTAATTGTGTACTTCTAGTTCCCAATGAGATGTGTGTTGTCTCATACCACTGTTGTACATACCACTGAGAACATAAAAACGGCCATACTGGTCAGACCAAAGGTCCATCTAGCCCAGAATCCTGTCTTCTGACAGCAGCCAATGCCAGATGCCCCAGAGGACAGGAACGCAACAGGGAATCATCAAGCGATCCCTCTCCCATCACCCGTTTCCAATCTCTGACAGAGGCTAGGGACACCATTCCTATCTATCCTGGCTAATAGCCATTGATGGACCTAACCTCTATTAATTTATCTAGTTCTTTCTTGAACCCTGTTAAAGTCCTGGAGTTCACAACCTCCTCTGGCAAGGAGTTCCACAAGCTGACTGTGTGCTGTGTGAAGATAAACTTCCATGAGGTTTCACGTAGTTAATTTACTTCAAGATGTACCAATGAGACTGCAGCTGTAGAGATGCTAATGTACGGAACCCTTATCTCCATTCACTGTACAATGTAGGGATGTAAGCAAGTAGTTGAGTTGACTAATCGCATTCCATCCCTTTCCCTGAAGCAGAAGCCAGTTTTCCCCCAGCACCGTCTCTGCGGTGTCGCCTCTTCCCCGTGCTGCTGCCTCTATTAAACTGCAGAGCTGCAGCGGGCAGTTGGTCCCAGACGTGGTGTGAGCTGGGACTGAGTGCTTTCCCTTATCAACTAATTGTGAAATTGTATCGATTACACGATTAGCCACCTCTCAGCATCCTTAGTACAATGTGTGTTGAGTTGCCTAGCAACTGTCCAGTCTAACTGAAACCAAAACTTAATCAGAGTTTATTTGTTGTTTCTGGTTGCGTAGTAACTATTGTTGTACATGACAGATGGCAAAAGAGCAGTAATATTAAGAAAAATACAGAATATCAGTGATGAGAAGGGTAGGACCATTTGGGCAGCTGATAGACCTGGAAGAGGGACACACTAAGAAAAGTTGGGTAATATCTGATCTTGGGTAGTATTGATGGTGAGTGTAGATAATATTGCCTCATGTGTAATGTGGAGCCTTGGGTAGGCAGGCATGTAGCTGGAGGACTAGGCCTGTCCTGCAGAAAAGACTGTTTCCAGTGCATCCAACGCTACTATACCTCTGAGCTGTCAGCTAGCTATATTAAACCAATATGTTTTGATGCAGTATTTTTAAATTGAGATGCACAAAGGAGTGGCTTGAAAACAAAGGACTTGCTGACACAAGATTTTCTGTGCAAAAGACTTGTGTGTTTCTCAAGTTTCTATAAAGCTGTCAAAACCAGGAATGCGTGCAGTGATTTTGCTTGTCAATCTCTCAAAGCTGAACTAGGAATTAAATCACTAGTGTTTCCTGGTTTTTTTTTTTTTTTTTTTTTTTTTTTTTTTTTAAGGTATGCTAAATACTGGTTTGCTGAATTGTCTTGTGCAGCTCAGTTCTTTGAAATTGTTAATTTCATTCTTTAAAGAATACTGAGGCTGTGTTTTTTGTATTTAATTCCAGGCAAGGTGTTCCTTAAGGCTTGCTACTTGGGATTTTGTGTACTTTGGGCTTTTTTTGACATTGAAATATTCTCGATAATCAGATGTGGAAACTTATTACAATTAAAATTAGAGTATTTTTTTGTTTCTTGTGAATGCTGCAGATGCCCCTCCCCCAACATGGGAGCAACTAGAAAATGGATTAGTTGCTGTGAGAACAGTGGTACATGGATTAGTTGATTACATCCAGAATCACAGCAAGAAAGGAACAGATCAGCAGCAGGTAAAAACTGGAGCTTTAGGAATCTGAGAAACTTTCAGGCTCTAATCATTGATTAGAACAAGTGGCACAGATGTATTTGTATGTCACTTCTGGGGGACCATGCTTCAAATATACATCAATAAAACTTGTTTGGGAGTCTTTATTTTTTTTTTGGTCTAATGAATATTATTCCTAGTAGGCATTCATCTCACTTGTCTTTGCACGGTAAATAAGGGTGAAAAGAAAAGAAAATCTAATCTATCTGAAGCTGCAGCCAAATCAGTAGGCAAACCTCTTTCCAAAAGAAGTTGTCATGCCAATGTTGCTTTTAAAAAAAAATGGCATATTTCACACGCGGTATGGCACCTTTTGAGGGAAGCAATACCTGTACTTCTAGCTTGTAATGGTTCTGCATAGCTCGAACACTTGGAGCAGTGAGTGAAATGCTGTTAGAAATCCCCAAACCAGAAACCTTTAGCCATCTTAATTAGTTCTTGAAACAATGTAACCTGTCATATAATTTACCAAACCTAGTTACCTTTTAAAGCAAGGAACTGTAAGGGGGATCAAAATTACCATTAGCATGGGATTGTAACTGCTGTCTTAATGTGGGGAGGCTGCACACCTGTTACAAGAAACCAAATCATACTTTCCAAAAAAACAGGCCTGTGCCATTTGAGCAAATGGGGCTCTGCTAGCTAGCTGTCCTAGAAATTTCCTTCCATTTATTCTTACATGAAACTGGCCAGTAGAGGGCAACATGTTCACATACACAGTGCACTGCTCCGTTCCCACTGGAGGAAATACTGGTGGTGGGGAACTGCAAAAATCCCACTGACCTCTATATCATCAGGATTGGCTCCCAAAATATTCACCAAAATCATTAACTTTAGTTATCAGTTACTATGTTCAGATACAGCTCGCACAGGTGTTGTCAATGAGAGATGACTAATGTTTGACATTCAAAAGTGGTAGATATAGGCCATTTTGAGATAAAGGGGAATTAAAGTAAGTTTTAAACTGGCAACGTTTCAAGTAGAGGATGACAACTTTAATCTGTAACTCAAAAATAGTTTTCTGTAGGCTTTGAAGAACCCCTTTCCTTTGCCAAAGTAAAAATGGTCATTTTAAAATAAATCAGATGGATATAAATTAACATGAAAATTGATGAGGTATTTGGGTATGGGTGTTAATGTAGCACGTTTTTGGTCCTTGGTGTGAAATTAGATTGGAACTGCTGACAGAGCACTCAATCCTAAACCCAGTGTACAGTTGTATCCATGCAACTCCATCCATTGCTCAGCTCACCCTATGGTCTTGTCTAAATAAAGTTTGTCTGTTTGTTTTGAACATCCTATTTTATTGAGCGTTGTATTGCTTATATTAATTTATACTCAGGTGCCTTATTGTTTGTCTTTATTCTTCATAGCCTCCTCAACACAGCAAGTATAAGACATATATGTGCCGAGACATGAAGCAGAGAGGCGGGTGTCCCCGTGGAGCTAGCTGTACCTTTGCACACTCACAGGAGGAACTGGAAAAGTAAGAGTACCTCTTATGGTGAAAACCTTTCCTTGCCCTTTTCCCCTGCCATTACCAACAGAAGCCATTTATAAAAATCGTGAGAATGAGGAAGGGGGTGGGAGAAGGAGTGGAGGGTGGGTAAGTGTGTGTTTTACCAGTTAAGAAGTTTTTGTGATACTTTCTTAAACTATCAATCTTCAGGTTTTCTTTCAAGATTTTGAGCTTGATGTATACTTAGTTCTGAATGTAGAATTCAGGGTTTTTCTTGTTTGGCAACAATACATCTATGAACAGTTGAAAATCATGTAGCAAGCACGCATAGTGCATTGGGTTTTTTCCCCTTGATTTTAAACATACTCCAAGTGTGCCACTTTGTTCTCAAGTGTTTTTCTCGTTACCTCCATTTTATAATCAGGTGTGAGAGGTAGGTTGGAGTTGGTAATCCTTCAAATCTTCAGCTCTTTCTTGGTTTTGTACATTAAGCCTTACACCACTTTCAAGTGCTTTAAACTCAGGGTGAACCCTGCTCAGAGCTCTATTTTTGCAACAGTAACTCTTGTGAACTTTTTTACTTGTCGTTTATGCAATGATTTATAAAACCCCAAAAGCTAATGTTACAGCATAATGAAATGCCATCTGTGCGAGTGAATAAATAAATTAATTACAGAAGCTGACCTTTCAGAGAGCTGAATATTTGACAGAGCAGAATTGTGTTGATCTGAATGTCTCAGCTTTTTAAAAAGTCAAAAAACTGAAGGAGTGGTGGTGTGCTGAAAGAAAATTAAAATTTCATCCTGTAGTTCAAAACTTGTATTTTATATGTCTTATAATTTCTTAAAACTTGTTAATTTGGGGCTGAAATTACTCCTGAGCATTCTCAACCCAAAGGTTATCTTTTTAACTTTGAAGAATACTAATTCAGATATTCAAAAATGTACTGCATTGTCATGTTTTTAATTTTCTCTTTAAAATTCAAGGGTGGGAACCAATGTCACATTCTGAGTGTATAAAATTGATAACCACAGTTGTGCCCTCTTAAACATTAGAATGAGACATAGTTTGGAACAGAATGATCTTTTTGTCTTCAACTGTCACTTCTACTCTGCTCTTAACTATAGCTCTATCTATGTCATTGTCACAGGTTGTCATGGTTATATAGATAATCTTTGATAGATGAAACAAGGAGTCTGAAGCACCAGGTGTATAAATCTTAGATTGCTTGATCAGTTACGACACAAATTAGTAAAAGTCCTATGTGGTCATTGTAATGGAAATAGTTTTCTTTTCCTTCACCATGGTATCCATAAAGTACTGATTTGGCAAAGCTCTTTTAGATAGTTGGTACACAGGTGAATCCAGGTTACCTCCATTCTAAAACAGCTGCATATTTTGGTAGGTGTTCCATCTGTTCTTGAAAATGAGGTCTATTGTATTCAGCCTCTATTTAGAGCAGTTGTGTTTGGAGTGGAGATAAATGTCTTGTCATCTTGAATTTCAAATTACGTGCTCACAGACGTTTCAAAGGTGGCTGGATAACTTTGAGCTGTGTGTTCTGATCTGTGCCTTTCCTTTCTGCTGAGCTCCAGTGAAGAGCTATTTGATTCATTATTGTTAGTAGAGGGTCAGTACTTTCCTAAAAGAGAGAGAAGAAAAGTGCCTGCGTATTTTAAATGAGCTCTCACTAAAGATCTGCTCAAAAAATTTTGCTGATTCTCTGTGGCCTTCCCTTTTAGAGCAAAGTTGTTGAGAAAGTTGTAGTGAAGCAGATCTGGTAACCGCTGGAGTCCTCAGATTTCTATGGGCCCATTCTAAACTTGGTTTCATGACAGCTTGTAAAATAGTCAGCACCTTGGTGTCATTGGTGGATTATCCCTTCTGGCTATAGGCAAAGCCAAGTATCCAGGTTTTAAGCTCTCTTTGAGACCTGGTATATTTCCAGATTTCAACAGGGATTCATGGACCTGCCTAAATGGCTATTTCCTCGGGAGGGGGATTCTACCAGTGGGTGGTATTGTGCAACTGCTAAGTGCCACAGCAGTCCGTCCTGTTACTATCTGTTGAATAAGAGAGAGTAGGGAACATGAGGTGTACAGTCCTTTGGGTGCTAATGAGCCTGTTCTACAGCTCCCTTTCATCATATCTAAATGATGTGCCCTCAACATTCCCTGTCTAGATGAATGAATGTCTGGCTGAAGTTTAAATGCTGCCAGGCAGAGGGTTGAGTTACAGCCAGAGGAGATGGAGAAGTTAGTATGTGTTCCCTTTATTAGAAGGGTTTGGACCTGCCTTCTGTTAGTGAGCTCTTCGTTCTTTCAGTCCTGATAGACCCTCGTCTGCTTTTGAATGGATTAGTAGTAACAATAAATGGTGCTGCTTTTTTTTTTTTTTTTTTTTTAAATTAAGAAATGGTGAAACCACAACTGTTCCCCTTAATGCAAATTTCACTAGTGCTACCTGTGCCTTTTTATCACCGGTAGATCGGATTATTCTGTGCTTGCACCTACATCTGAAGACCTCTCAGAAAATTCCCTGGTGCAAAATGCATCTGTCCACTTAAAAAAGTGGCGGGTCTTGCAGTCTTGGCTGCAGTGTGTATTCTGCATTAGCTTCTGATTTTTCTTTTGGGTGCATTTCAGGGTGTTGATTTTGATTTATAAAATCCTTTTAATTTTTTGAGCCCTTATAGAAAATGATTGTTGTTCAGTCCCAACAGTAGAGACCAGTTGTTGTGCTTAAGGTAGCACACCTCCAAATTTTAATAACTGAGCTGATTCCAGGAGACTTTTAGTAAAGAGCATTCAACTCTGGACTTTGCTCTTTATGCTGGTCCAACAGAGTCCTAGTCTGCTGTTTTTCAGGGCATATTATAAAGTTCATATTTGTACAGGTTTTTGGTGGAGGAGAAGTTAGATTAATTTGAGGGTAGAGAAGTTTGAATTTTTATCTCTGAATCTTAAGAAATCCCTCAGTTTACTTTTCAGTACAAATAATGTGTTAAATTTTGTGCCTGCCCTTAGGTCTCTAACTGTATTTTGCAAATCTCCTAAAATAAAATGTCATCCTACAACGCTGAGTGAAGTGGCTTATTAGACAAATAGTAGGATAAAAGTATTTTTCTTCCACTGTATTTTTCATGCAATAATGCTGTGTAAATAAACTAGATTGTACAGTGTCTGTTGTGATCCTTTTCCTAAAACTCTAGCTGTACAGATGTAATATTTTGGTCACTTGAATGTATGTATGTTCCCATGTAAATGAAGATCCTATTCTTGTAATGCATAGGTGCAAGGAGAACCAAGTTTAAATTTACTATGGGAACCTTAACTCTAAATTCCCAGGAAAAACTTACCATTTAAAAAAAACAACCCTTTTACATTGTGTTAATCTTTTCTTTTTTTGCATCTTAATGCATGCCCATAATCTATGCTGAATATGTAGTATACATACTCGTTCTTCTGAAAGAAAACATTTTGCTAACATTTTGTACAAATAGCACCAAGAAACTCCAGTCTACCAGATATTGGCTATACTTACCGTCCAAAAAAACCCACAAAAAACTGGCGAAAGCTTCAGGAAGCTTGAATTAAAAATTGAAACTCTTTTTCTGTAGCACCTGTGTGAAAAAAATCTTGAAACCCATCTCCTTCTAGTTTCTTGTTTCATTTTTTGGTGTGTGATTTCTTTTTCCTGAAGATTTCGTAAAATGAACAAACGCCTGGTTCCCCGAAGACCCTTGAGTGCCTCCTTGGGCCAGCTAAATGAGGTGGGCCTGCCTTCAGCAACTATCCTCTCGGATGAAGGGGCAGTGGACTTGCCCAGTAGAAAATTGCCGAATGGGATTGTGTCCTCGAGCAGCACAGTGACGCAGCTTATCTCCCGCGGGACTGACTCCGGCTATGATTCTACTCTGAAGCCAGGGAAGATCGACCACCTGAGCAGCAGTGCTCCTGGATCCCCTCCAGACTTGTACGGATCTTCCTAACTATTGTTCGAAGTGTCCTGTGTGTAAATGTGTGATGGAGGAAATATAAGGGCCAGTAAATCCATTCTAGAATTATAACACTTTTTCCTGCTTTGCACCTTTTAGTCATTAAAAATGGCCTAGAAAAAAGATGCTTTTACTTCCTGCTTTTGTAAGAAAAAGTGGCAAGACACACTCAAAGATGGCACTTTGAAATCATACGTTGGCTAGAGATATTCAGTATTGAAAGCACACCGAGTTGTATGATGTGGCCTGATCATTATTGATTTGTCTTCCTTCTGCCTTAGGCTGGAGTCTGTCCCCAAGAGCTCTATTTCTGCATTACCAGTGAACCCCCACCCAGTACCACCAAGAGGACCTACAGATCTGCCTCCAATTTCTGTGTCTAAGCAGCTCCAGATGGTACCACGAGGGTCACAGCTGTATCCTGCTCAACAAGCCGACATGTTTTATCAGGATCCTAGAGGAACTGCTCCACCATTTGAGCCGTCAACTTATCAACAAGGTAAGAGTGTTTGGGGTCAGTATTACATTTTCTTGGTTCTGTGCCTGTGCTTCCCAATAACCAGTGTTTTATTTAACCCCTCAATTTTGGGTTTTCCTGTGGGACCATGAGGGATGAATGCTTAATTGCCACTAGTATAGTAAAATGGATGTCCAGTGTGGAGAAAAGGTGTATTTTAGTGGTAGAAGTTTCTTTCAGCCTAAATAATTTCTTCTTTGATAGCATTCAGCCAGTCGCATACAGAGAGGATTTTGTGCCCTTAAACAAGAACTTGCTCTTCTGGTTTTTGTTAAATGTTTATGCTCATCCAGCATCACAAAACAGTCTTTGCCACATTAAAAGTGAATGAGATGACGTGAAAATCATAAGGTGTCATGGAAAATGGCAACAATAGTAATTTTCTAGTCAGGGTGTTTAGAAGACTTAATTCATGTTCAGATATTTTGAGGTAGTCTGTAGACTCATCGAATACTAGAACCGGAAAGGACCTTGAGAGGCCATCGAGTCCAGCCCCTGTCCTCACAGCAAGACCAAGCACCGTCTAGACCATCCCTGATAGATGTCTGTCTGACCTGCTCAGATGGAAGATTCCTGGCTGATGCAGAAATGTTTGCATCCGAGCGTGATGAATGCGAACGAGGAGTGGCAGTCACAGGAATAGGTTAGAAAAGGGAACGGAAGGGCTGCTCTGGAGGAGAAAGCCTGATGGGGATGGAAAGGATTAGAAGAGAAGCTACTGCTTTGAAGAGCAGATTCTCGTGATTGACCTTCAGTCTGGCTAAGGAGAAATTGAAATGAGGAAGGAGAGATGAGTATGGAGTGAACTATAGTTATAGAAAGGAAGGGAAAATAAAAACAAGATACCCAGCGCAACAAATTAAAATGTATAGTTGATTTCATGTGCCAGTGGGAACGTGAGCAATTCACAGAATTTGAACATGACCCCTTTGTTTACCTATGGGTGCCCTGGAATTGGGTACCACCACACACCTGGGTCACTGCTCAGTGAAGTCCACCAATGATTTCTCCATGCCAGTTCCAGTCCCTAAATGGCTGCATCTTCTCTGTTTGCCCCAGATATTCCAGCTCTTTGGGCATTGTCATTTTATCAGAAATGGAGAATTAATGCTGTGTACGTGTGTACACCTCAAATCTTTGCTTCAGCCGTGGGGATCTTTGTATTCTGCAGGGCTCAAGTCTGTTCCTGCCATGAAGGGGGTATAACCAATATTTAGTTAACCTGGAGTTTTGCTTGGTCTAGGTTCATCCAGTTACATAAATGAGTCTGGTAAATTGTTCTTTCTGAGGGCTTCCTGAAAAATGGAGCTCCGGCTACTTGGGCCCATGAAAGCATGGTCACTGGCTGGTAGGTTCACTCGTGTGAGCGTGGAGAGACACCTGATGAGTTCCTTCTGTGAACGTGTGAGAATTAGTCTTCAGGCCCAGGAGAAGGCTGCACCTTCTCATCTATGCTGGGTTCATCTTCAGCTGCCGTGGATTGTCTGCAACAATACTGGCTGGTTTGGTTAATTTAAACTTCACTTCCTGGACTCTAGATCAGCCTTTGCTTTCTCATATGTCTTGTGCTGGATTTGTATGAAGACCTTATCTTATATGAAAATGCATTATTTATAGGATTAGGAGGACAGGTGTGTGTGTGGTCAAGAAATGATTTACCTGATATCACTTTTTAAGACCGTTGGAGACTGCGATCTCTAAGAATAAATTGTGGTGAAACATTGTTATGTCCAATCGTACTGACTTTTTGTACCCTTGTTTCATAAATCCAGGTTTGTACTATCCTACTCAGCCCTCACCGTGCGTGTCTCGTTTTGTCCGACCTCCACCATCTGCTCCTGAACCTGGTGGTCCTTACTTAGACCATTACCCACCCTACCTTCAGGATCGCGTGGTGAATTCACCGTATGGCACACAACCACAGCAGTATCCTACCATGGGACAACCTATGTATCAACCACACTATGACAGCCGGCGTGTGTACCCCTCTGCCCAGCCATACCAGCGAGAAGATATGGTCCGAGGAAGCCCTGTGCCCATTGAAATTCCACAGGCTGCTGTGCCTCCCTACGTACCTGAATCCAGAGACCGATACCAGCAAGTGGAGGGTTATTATCCAGTGGGTCCACATCTCAATCAGATCAGACCGTCCTACCACAGAGTACGACTTTCTGAATGCTTTTGTTGTTTGCTCAGAGAGCGAGAACATTAAGGGCACATTAACTTTGGGGAGCTGGGCACTTTCTGAAGGAGGGGAGGTAAAGCACTTCTTAGGAGAATTAAACCCCAAATTCAAGCTTTAATTAGTGGCTCAGGAGTCTTTTGTCCCCCCTTCGCCGCCTTCCTGTACCTTGTGCCAAATTTTAAAATTACTACTGGCTACTGATGGAAACGGCGCATTGGCAGTGGTCACTCTTGAAAGAATGTAGTGCCATATAAATCATTTCTAGTAAAGAAATGTCGCCATATGTTCATGTGAAAACCTCCATGACCCAACTTCTGTGGCAACATAACATTTGAAGATAGTGTCTTAACCTTTCTTAATACAAGTGTAGTGGCGTGATTGTGACATGGTGGCAAACTGACATCCTTTCTTTATATGCCGCACAGATATAGCATGGGCACATGGTAATGTGAAACTCCAGGCGCTGTCCGTTCTTGGACTGGAATGGGTCAGGAGTTCTGCTTTCATGACCATTCTATACTTAGCCTCTTGACTGGCATTGCCAACTGGAGTGTCAGTGCGTAATGGTTTTATCTGGTCATCAGTCCAGTGTAAACTAGAAGGAGACTAACTTGCTCTCCTTAAGCCACCTGATGAAAATGTTCAGTCATTTTTCCAATAAGTGACATGGAGATTAAGGGCTCTGGATTCCATTACCTGGCCATGAATGAGCTTAAACATTTTAATTGAGCTAGTTTATAGCTTCATCTAGTTTAAGAGCTGATAAATCTGTTTGTGGTATAATTCTGTTAAGATATAGAATATCCCCTGCAATATTGTCTAGGTGCTGTGCTCTAGGATGAGTGACAGCTTTGGCATTCCCCGTCTTGGGGATTCACAGCCAGTTAAAGCTAACTGCTCCGCACGAACCAGAAGGTAGTGTGGTCTGAGACACAAATATTTGGCCTCTGTTCTGAGTTGAGGATCAAAAAAGCTAGGACTCACTGCACTAATAGGGGTCTAAACAGTTTTGTCAGCTTGTGTATGTTCCATATCCCTAGGGAAACTCACTCTATCACTCATGTGAACTCTTTCTGTGAATAAGATGCTGCAACTTGAATGAGCACTAAATTCAGGCAAAAGTTTAGAGAAGGATCTTGACAGTAAAATTGTCTGTGTCCTTCTTACACCGTGAACTGTGTTCTGGTGTTAGAGATCATCCTTGTGTAGGGTGGTGTTTTTCTACTTTGTGAGTTAAACAGCGTGTTGAATAACTTTGTATATTAAAACCGTAGGAGCCTTATAACCGACTTCCACCTCCACCTCAACCCCATCCCAGCCTGGATGAGCTTCATCGTCGAAGGAAGGAAATCATGGCCCAGTTAGAAGAAAGGAAGGTGATCTCCCCACCTCCCTTTGCACCTTCACCAACTTTGCCTCACCCCTTCCACACAGAGGAGGTAAGCCTATGTTTAACAAAGATTTTTGGGTTGCTTGTATAGTCAGAAATTAGTTTAGGGGTATGCGATGTTACTAAGTGAGTTTCTTTCACTGATTCTGAAGCTCTGAAAGGCTGAGAGGAGTCTATTGGATAAGAAAGGTGATAAGCGAGCCCAGGGTTGAACAATGATATCTTTCTTAGGATCGTATATTAAACATTTTAGGGAGCTTTTTGTGCTCCAGTTACAGAGGTCCACATGGTGGCCATCTGAGGAAGACTGTTCTTGGTTCTCCATTAGACTTCTGATCTATCAGTGGTCCTTAATTATTTATTTACACAGCCATGAGACCAATCTTACTGTTTTAATGTGGGAAGATTGCTTTGACTATTAATGACCAGAATACCATTGCTAGACTTAGCTTCATTTATACCTTAAGTAGTAAAGCAAATCTTCAGCCAGATCAAGGTCAGAATGTCGCCACTTCTTGCTATGCGCTGAACATTCAATACTAGGAGCCCAGCCAGCTGATTTGAATTTCACAAATGATATGGAATATAAGTTTGCAGCTTCCTACGCTGCATCCAGTTAAAGTCCTGTCAGCATCCTCCTTGAAGTTAACTGTGGCACAGGACTCAACAATGCCTGCGATATGCCTCCCGCCTTTTACTTACAGAACCAGATTTTTGTCTTTGTATAGTATTTGGACGAAGAGCTGAAGGTAGCTGGGAAATACAAAGGAAATGACTATAGCCAGTACTCTCCTTGGTCGTGTGACACCATTGGCTCCTACATTGGAACCAAAGATGCAAAACCCAAAGACGTCGTGGCAGCAGGGAGTGTAGAGATGGCGGTAAGTTGGGGTGCAAGAATGGGCTGGGGGGAGGGATCTTCTTTGTTTACTAACTGAACTAATTGCAACATGTCTTTTTTTTTTCCCAGACCAAATGTATCTGACAAAGGGATAGTTTTACAATTGCAATCAAATGTTCTGTTTTCAAAATGAGAATTTGTTCCAGCACAATTTTTTTTTCTGTTCATCTGTTTGTTTGGTTTGGTTTGGTTTTGGATATAAATATGAACTAATATCTCCTTCTTAACTTGAAGCCGCTTAATGAGAGATGCTATGATGTTATGTCCTCATTTTCTCAACACTGTCACTGCTGGGGGTCAACTTCGCTTTTCGTTACCTCTTTTACAGAACATAGACAGTAAAGCCATGCGTGACCAGCGGTTAGACCTACAGAGAAGGGCAGCAGAAGCTGGGGACGATGATCTCATCCCATTTGGAGACCGGCCAACTGTGTCAAGATTTGGGGCCATCTCACGTACTTCCAAAACGATGTACCAGAGTCCTGGCCCCATGCAGGCCATGGCAGTTCAGGGAGCTTCCACCAAATCTATCAACGTTACAGGTATAACTAGTACACGTAGTTATTTTTCTTTTTAGCATAATGTTGCTTATGGGTGGTGTTATAGTATAGGCAGGGCTCGACAAATCCGTTTATCTACTCACCCGTGGCGAGTAGATTTCAGCTGGTCGCCCCCGTTCACCGGCGGTTCGCGCATGCACAGTGCGGGGCTGGCGAGTGGTTTTCACCGCGATCGTCGAGTCCTGAGTATAGGTACAAAATATCCTGGGAAACGTTTGTCAGAATTTTAAATGGTATTGGATGCCATCAGATTCTAATGCATTAATTATAGGTATGAGAGGTAGAAAAGACCTGTTTCCCTGTCAGTGTAGTGTAGACAGACTTTTCCAAAGCTGAATGGATCTAACTGTCAGGAAACTTTTTCCTGGTATTCTTCATTTCTCAGTTTCATCTCATTGCTACTAGTAACTACCCCATGTACATGAGTAAGGCTATCTTCCTATTTCGTATTTACGCCCTTCAGATATGTATAGCTGGTCACTATATGTGTGTTTGGAGGGGAATTATGAACTTCCCATTCCTGTTAAAGCTTGCCGACACTTAAAAGATAATGTTGGATTGAAATAGGATGTGAATTTAAAATGCAATAGGAATTCTTGAGTAGTTCTTCTTGTAGGCAATTTCAGATTTTATTTTGATACTTCCTTTTCTAAGAAGTTGAAAGTATAACTCAACAAAAAGTACTGTACTTAGGCTACAAATATTATCCTTGCAAGCCTCACATAAGCATTATTTTGTATAATGCTCAGCTAATCCACTAACAAAATAATGTTTAATTTCTGAGTGTTATCTATGCCATTGATTTGGTAACAATTTCATACTAGCGAGTTGTGATTCTTTTAGATATAGTGAACAAAACAACTGGAGAATTGGCCTAATTACAGTTTCCCAAAACTACCTTCCTGGATTGTGCAGAAATGGTTGAAAACTAAAATTCTCGTTTATAGCTGTTTTGCAGAAGATTTCTAGAGTTGCAGATCGTTAAATACCTTAGAATTCTCTGAGTTCATTTTTCAAACTGGGGTTGATTTACTAGATTTGTCAATGAATCATGATCTCAGGCCAAGTCTCTACTTACCTGGAAGTTTGAATTAAGATACACAACTCCAGCTACGTTAATTGTACCTTAATTCGAACTTCCATGCTAGCTTCACAGGGGGAGGTCAACGGGGCTGAGCACTCCCGTCACTTCCCTTACTCCTCCCGAATAGAGGAGTACCGGCGTCGAGGGGAGTGGCCTCTGCGTTCGAGTTAGCAGGTTTTTGCTAGACCCACTGAATCGAATGCCAGAAGATCGACCGCTGCAGCGTCTATCTTCTCGCTAGTATAGACATGACCTCAGTTGATGTTTTAGTGAAGAAGCCTCCAATTGATAATCCAGCTGTTTTACCTACAAGGATTGTTGTACTTGCAAGTTCCTGGAGAATGATGGGGATTTGGTTTTTTTTTTTTTTTTGGCCATCTGAAAGTGTGTTTATATATGAGAGAGTTCAGGTGTAGCATTCCTGTGGAAGAGGCTAGTGGAATATCCACCAGCTACTATGGATAGTCCTTGCAACCTATATACCAGTCTCTGTTGGGTGTTATAGGTGTAGTTCTGTAACACAAAGCATTGACATAGCATGTGTTATCTGGGTCACTCCTTTTGTCCCTTTGCAGATTACAGTCCATATGGAGCTCATGGTGGCTGGGGAGCTTCTCCGTATTCACCCCACCAAAACATACCGTCTCAGGGACGCTTCGGTGACAGGTAGTCCATCTCGCTTTTCCTCTGCACTTACTCTGTTCACAATAGTTTGTTCTTTGCCAGACTTCGCAAAGCTACTGTCTGAAACGTATTTTCTTTCCAATTGCAAAGGGAGAGATTGTCCATGCCTGATGTGGCCAGTCATGGGAAACCCTTAGCCTCAGCTGAGAGGGAGCAGCAGCTCCGGCTGGAACTGCAGCAACTAAACCATCAGATCAGCCAGCAGACACAATTACGAGGCCTGGAGGTTGGTATCTCCGTCTCAGAAGGGGCATAAGAGAGCAGGAGAGAGACGGAATTGGCAGATTATCTTACTACAAGCCAGAGGTTCTTCTCTCATCACATTGAACATGATACAAAAACTGAAATCCATGACATCTGACATTGAGAGTTCCCAGCACTTGCTCACAAAAGAAAAACCCTTTAACTATTTAGCAGCAGGAACTGTGAGCTTGCACTGGGGGGGAAAAAAAAAAAAAAAGGACTTGTAGCCCATGCAAAGCATACCATGTATGTTCTGTTTGTTCATGCCTGCTTGCTTTTTCTCTCTCATGGTCTTTTCAGAGCCCATTAATCTGTAAGCAAATAAAGTTCTTGGCTTTCCAGATTTTGAGGTAATCAGACTCAACCGATAGAAAATTAAACCCTTTTGTGTGGTGTTTGCCTTCGTGCTGTAGCTCTCTTCTTCCTAAACACAGCGCAAGCCAGAAAATGGAACAAAATAGGCATGAAAATGTTTTAATTTCAAAGGCTCAGCTTTAATGTCTACTTACAATGATTGTAATTCGTACCCAGTGGGATGATATGAGAGTTGATATTTGCAAAAGGAATAATGAGCTGTATCTACAACTTTACTTCATTTTATGGGACGGTGTGGTAGGAGGCAGCTGTCACACACAAATAAGGAATTTTGGGTGTAGGAAAGCTTAGTTACTGTAGTATTGATGTCTGGAAGGGAAAGCACTATCTGCCTATTGAAGGCAACAGAAAACTACTCTCAGGCACCTCTCATCTAGTCAGATTGAGGTTTCTCTCAGCAAGAAACATTGCTGGGGTATTGTTAAGAAGTCTTTGCTCTAGTCTAGTAAAAGGTTGGGTGCTAAAACAGTAGCTCCTCATTGTGCATCTATTAAGTGTTTATGTCTCTGGGTGGCAATGACCATTTCAAGAAGTACGTGTTTCCCAGTTACTGGAGAAGTGACTTGTTTGTGTTATTGTGCTCTTATTCAGGAACAAGAGGGAAATTGTGTTTAAATTGTGCATGCTTGCCTTTGGTGGTGCCTTAGTGCAGGAGTAGTTGAAAGTTTCAGAACCTCTACCTGGCTTTCCTCCCCTACATACCACTATAATTCATCTTGATTGCCGTATCTCTTAAAATGGTTAGATTTGAATATGAACTTTAAGAACTTTAAAACCTTGAGACCCAAGTCACGGTTCAGGTCACAGGATCTTTCATGGGTTTTTTTTTCTAGACACAACTAGCTTTTTACAATCCAGAGACAAAGCTTTAGGTCTAAACTAGCTGCAGCCTTTACTTATTCATTACTTTTACTTTAATGAATAAGTGTCTGTGTTAACTGTTGACCACTTGTCTGTGATTGCTGTAAGGAAAGATGGTCTCAAAAGTTTAAATACAAAACAGAGATTCACTCATGTAATTTTGGGATTCTTGTTTAATCATTGTGTGACTTGGAACGAGTTACTTGATCTCCCTCTGCTTCCTCTTTCCTCGTTGCTTGCTGACAGGTTGGGAAAGAACCACTCATTATCTGTACTTACAGCACCTCCCATTTTAGGATCTTTAAACAATTTTTAAAAAGTAGTTGTGTTGTATCTACATTGATATTGCAAGGATCTGGTGATCTCTACAGGGGCAAAACACTTCACTTCTTCTTCTTCTTATTCCAAGGATATGGGTTTGCTTGTCCTCCAGGAACTCTTCTTGAGCAAACACTTCACAAAAGAACATTTCCACATGAATGTATGGTGGCTTCATTTGCAAATGAAAAATAAAAATCGGGGCAGAACAACTTTTATTGGGCTTAATTATTTGTTACAATAATAAAATAACTGCATGTTAAATACTGACACTTTTAAAAAAACAAACAAAAAAAAGATCTTGTAAGGGAGAGACCTTTGAAATATTGCTGGAAAAAAGACCTTGTAACTGGATGTGAGGGAGAGACCTTTGAAATATTGCTGGAAATGCTTTCAAAGTCAAGCCATTGTAACCCATGTAAGGGGAGGGAAGGCTTGGGTTTTGCAACTAGGCAATCCTCCTGATTTGCAGCCTGGTCCATCTCTTTGCATGGTTTGTTGTGTGCTTAGTTGTATATGTGCTTGGCTTTATGCATTTAGGCTATTAATAACAGGCTGCTGTTGCAGAGGGAGGCAACCGCCCTGGCAGGCCAACCACAGCCTCCACCGCCACCTCCTAAGTGGTCTGGGATGATCTCAAGCGAACAGCTGAGTATGGAACTGCACCAGGTGGAGAGGGAAATCGGGAAGAGAACCCGTGAGCTGAGCATGGTGAGTGCTGTGGGGAGGGGAAGTGTTGAGGTGGAATGTGGACTGCTTGGTTGGCTGCAGCCCTTTAGCCCTGGCCATAGAGCTTTCTGCTGGATGACTGCGACCAATGTTAGTCATTTCCCTTTCATCATTGTATTAGTCACACCCTTCAGATAATAGCATTTTGGGTACAGGGTTAGAATGTTACTGTACTTAAAATATTCAGCTGCACTTTTGAAAACAAGAGTAAGACTAATTTATAACTGCACAGCTAAATTAAAAAAAATCTTCGTGCCAAATGGCTGTTCGTCTTCCTTGGCTTATAAATGTTGCCTTTCAGGTGTCTACAACACACAGTCTGTATTGTAACATGCATAAGAAGTTTGCAGTTCCATCCAGTAGAAAGCTAGTGTTCAATACTCAGCCTTTGGCATGAAAGTCCCTGATCTTTGCTTCACAGAATAGGAATCATTCCTGTCTTTTGGGAAATTCTGTATCCTGTGAGGGTGGCTAGATCCCTCTGAACCAGTTTTCTTGTCTCGAGGGGCTTTGTTTAATATTTACAAGCATTCTCTTCTGTTCCCATGGAATGAAGCCACAGAATCTTTGGATGATGTGAAACAGTATTTTCTGTCCTCTTCTTTCAAAGGAGAGCCAGTCTTCACTGGACATGAAAAGCAGCCTGGGCACCAATAAACAGACAGAAAATGGACAACTAGAACCATCAAACAAGGTTCCAGCTGAGGACCTCACACTGACGTTCAGGTAACAGATTGGAATTTCCATTGGTCCTTAGAGGATAAGTTAGTCAGGCCCGTCTCTTAAGAATACGAAGAGCATCCGATACCTGTTGCATTTCTATCACTTTTTTATATTGAGTATGCATGTAATTATTCAATGTGGGGTGATTTCAGCCAAGGGGAGAAATGAAATGAAGCTGTTTGTGAATTGTTAGCTAGTCTCTCTCGTAAAACAAATTATTCTGTTTTTAGTAACAGGAATAATTTTTTGGGGGAGGCGGGGGAGTTTGCTGTGAAATGAGAGTGTTCATTCCAGTACACAAAATCAGGACAAAATTCTGCTTTTGCACTTGCACAAAGCTTCCAATAGAGATTGAGCTGCGTGATATGAACTAGGACTGCATCTACCATAAATTAAAAGCATTACAACATGCTGTTGGCTGGAAAGTTTTATAAGTCCACTTAACAGCCATCTCGAGGTTTTTTTATAAGCATTGGTTACAACAATTGTTAAGGTCTTTACTTCAGATGTAGCTGAGCTGGAAAAGACTGCAGTGGCTTCTCTCCACCATGAACAGAAGGACACCAGATGTAGTTGAGCTGGAAAAGACTGTAGTGGCTTCTCTCCACCATGAACAGAAGGACACAGGCTTTGCAGTTGTTAGTGAAACTAGTTTGTATAATTTCTGTTAGATAATTGTAAATATTGATATTAGCTCAGTGTTTGGAAATCGGTGAAGGATTTTAGTTAGCTGGTGTATTAACTTGACCATCATGCCATTACTGATTCCTGAAATTTTTTGCACATTGGGTAAGCAGAGAAACAGCAATGAACCTGTGATGCAATCGTGCTTTATTCATACTTAAATGTTGGTCTTTCCAATGTAATTTTCAAGTTATTCTAATTGCTAGCTGTAAAAAATAAACACTAAAAATATTAATGTTTTTGCCATCCTAACAGTGAATCAATATTGAAGACAGTAGTGTGTCCTAAATTGCTGCTGATAGCACCACTTTGTTGGAGTCTAATGGAGGGTACATAGCAATCATTTAGAAGTCCAGAGAAATTAGAGCTATTTCGAGTCTTCATCTTTCCTCTCGTTAGTGCTGCACAAACTTCCCTACTCTGTCATGGGCCAAAAGTCACAAGAGGGAAGTCTTAACAGAACAGCAGTTTCCCCTTCCACTGTGGAAATAGTGACACGTATCTCAAAAAACTGTTCTGGGGAGGGGGAAAATGGCTACTTTAAATACTCTGTTTATGCAAATTATAATTTGAAGGATAGTTAATTATTTCTGTGTGTATTTCATAATGGATACAATCTAGTGCTATTATAGGACCCTTAAAATGTTTCCCTTGTAGTGTTTTTGTTTTGTTTTCCAGTATCCTTAATGTATTTTTTTTCTCATGGGATGGGTATACATGAACAGTAAATGATTCATTGACCAAGGCAATGAATGTCTTGTGACTGTCTTACAAAAGAGATGCATGGTTATTGAAACACCACAGCAACAACAGGCTGGGCCTTGTTTCCCATGTTTAAAATCTGTTCATTTATTCCCCTTTTCTCCTTCCACAGTGATGTCCCAAATGGATCAGTCTTGACGCAAGAGAACATCAGCCTCCTATCAAACAAGACCTCTTCTCTGAGCCTGTCAGAGGACCCAGAGGGGGGAGGAGATAACCAGGACTCCCAAAGAACAGGAGTTGCACCCACCTCTTCTCCATGAAGTGAGGAAAGCATCCCCCCCACCCCGAGTTTCTGTTGGGGAGGGGGAGTTGGTAGCTTCCATCACACTTCCCTCTAACAGTGGTCAGAGAAACACAGGAGCAGCATTAGCAGGAGATCCGGAGGCAATGTGCACAAACACCACTACTAGAAACAAACCCTGCACATAGTTCACACTTAACACATTTTTTAATTAAAAAAAAATTAGCAGTATCTGCAAGCAATTCAGATTAAATTTGTTTTTGTTCTGTGAATGAACTTTATTTTAATAACTTTGGACGCCTTGGATCCCAGGGCTTTAAAAAAAAAGATATTATATATATATACTCTGTTTGATTAATTGTATGATCTTAATGAAGTAGGTTTTTTCTTTTCCTTTGGTATTATTACATACCCAGTGTATAAATCTTTACCACCTCTACTCCCTTTCACCTCTGAACAACGTTAACTGCCTCCTGGTATGAATTTAAAGGTGAATGAGGGACATGGAATGGAGGGAAGCCATGAATTGCAGAGTCAAAAAACATGCAGCAAGTATCCGTAGTTTTGTTTTTAATGTTAACTTCTTGTTACTAGGCGTTCACGTCAATGACTACATTACCGTTCCACTTATACCCCTTGGCTTTTAGCCACAGTTGATGTAATTTTCTCAGCTCAGTGAAAGCATTCCATAATATCCATCCTGCTGCAGCATGAATCCTCAAAGCTATGATTCCAGCAGTAGCAAAGAGTCCAGTGTATGCATGTTATGGTGGTGTGTGGTTTTGGTTTTTTTTGTGTGTGTGTGGCTGGGATGCGAGTTGAGTCAACGGCAGAGGGCCTCAACTAATTGAGACCTGCATGTTTCAGACTTCCAGGAGAGAGAGTAGAAATTGGCTGTCTGGATCCCGAGCCTGAGCTATTTGCCCGACCAGCAGTTGCCGTTGGGCAACATGACAGAGGCACCAAAAAGTTTTCATCTCTAGCAATAGCAAAATACCCAAAGAGAACACCGATTTTTAAGGAACTAGAAAGTTTCCTTTATTAGGCCATGAGAAGAGTCTTTTATAAAGGGCCTTTTTTGTAACCCGAGCATCCAAGGTTGCCTCAGAAAGGGCATGGACTGCCTATTGTCAACCTGATCCAAAGCCAGTGAAGTCAGTCAGTGAAGAGACTTCCATTGACTTGTGTGAGCTTTGGAACAGGCCTTCCGTTTTCCTGTTTTTAAAACACTATTTCAATTATAGCTTCCCCTCCCCCCTCACTGGTAATTATTGAGCTGCTTGTGTGTAAATAGAAGTCTTCTGCTTTTATAATCTGCCACTTCTGGCCTAAAATGTTTTATTTGTGATGTCAGGAAAGGCCTCTCATGGGAAGAGGAAAAGAACTTTGTCTTGCATGCACAGCACTTGGTAATTGGCAAAATAGAGGAGGGCAGGTGTAGTAGCAATGTTTGGTAAGATCCATGTGTACCAGGACACAGCAATGGCTGGCAGTCCGGCTCTTCCTCTTGAGCCTTGCCTGTCATAGCTGCATGGAATCCTTTCAGGAGCCAGCATTTCGTCTCTCTAGGAGAAAAGTTGCATCCAGTAATGCCAGTTCAGGTGCCACAGTGATCCTGCCAGAAGCATTTGAGACAGGACTTTCAGGCCTGCATGTTCTCATTCCATTGAGAATTCCTCTTAACAAGCACAAACATGAGTGAGGGTTTGCTCTTGCTGCATGTGTTTTGACCCTTGTAGCCTGCACTGAACGAGTCCCTCTGCATAGAAAGCTCAGTGGGAAAGAATCTGGGTAGTGTTACTCCCTCCATGCCCCCCGGGGCCTGCTTTTTGCTCTTCTTTCTGGATTAGACTACTAAATCAGAAAGCACTGGTTATGTAATAAATTATTGCATTGCTTTGGTTGGGTAAAAGCAAGAGTTAATACTTTTCTTGTTTAGTTATTTCTTAACCTTTAACTCCTGCTAAGGTCTTAGAAACCTTGGACTAAGCTTTGCATCTGTCATACCGTTAATTTAAATAAAATGGGAGGGAATACAGTCCCACTATTGCCTACCAGTAGAGAGTCCAAACAGAAGACTCATTTGAGTAGCGATTATTTAATTTGCCCAGTCAAGGCACCGCATTTATATACTATTTCACATTGAATTTGATTATGCCCTACAGACCTGGCTGGTCAAGGATTTGATACACATATTGGCTTGGGATTCGAGCTTTCTTTTTTATTTAAATAAAAATTTATATATATAAATAAATAAAATATACATATATACATAGTTATATCTGTATATATATTGGGTATGTTTTAAGGATTTTTTCGCATGAGCGCAGCTGTTCTGATCAAATGTCTGATTGGGAGGTAGAAGCACTGAATGAAGATAAAGCCTTTTCAGCTCGCAGCCACACTTTATGCATGTTTATTTCACTCTTTGCTGAACGTTGGCCTCAGAATTGCCAAGGAAAGCAGCTTTGTGGCTTTTTTTTTTTTTT